ATTAGGTACGGCAAAATAATGATAATAGTGGTATGATTTTAGCTATCACCTATAAATATGTGTTTTCTCTTTGCCTCGTTAGCCAAACTTTCCCTGACGATCCGTTTAGGTGAAACCTAGGTAGGTTTGTCTGGCTCACTAGGTGTATCTAGGTCTGCTCTACGGTTGTATTGAGCTCTTTTTGTTAGTTAGTTGTTTACTCGTATCAGGGTTTTTTCTTTGGGCTTTAAACCTGCATCTGTGCGATTTTTTGTCGGCAGAAGTTCATGTTTGTAGCTCTTTCTTTTTTTAAAACCTTTTTCCCTCGAGATTGATTTGATTAGCAAATCAAAAATTCGAGGGTTTTTCAAAAACAGTCTAGTTATCTATAATTATATATATATATATATATATATATATATATATATATATATATATATATATATATATAGATAGATAATATTAGTGGAAAATATACATACATATGAAAATATATCTAAAAAATTCCCATATATGTATATTTTCAGAAAAATTTTCAAGAGGAAGGATCCAGGTAGAACTCAATGTCTAGGACAGAGTAAGGATATAATAAAAAGGCTTAAACACTAATATTCCATGGTCATAATTTATTCCATTGGGATCGTAAAAACGAATCCAAATCATCAAATTTGTAGGTCTGATTCAAAATCTTGAATTCAAAATATTGAATTTGTGACCATGGTCTGATTTTTGGATCAATTTTTATTATATATATATATATATATATATATATATATATATATATATATATATATATATATATATATATATATATATGTATGTATATATATATGTATGTATGTATGTATGCTACCATTTTCAGCAAAGATATATGAGGAAAGTAAATTGGGTGAGAGAGAGAGTGTGAGTGTGACAGAGAGTTTCGAAGAGAAAGGGAAAGAAGCGAGGGACTCTAACCCTAACCCTAACCCTAACCCTTCCATCTAATATCTATCATTCAATTCGAAATTTAACAAAAAGAAACTAGAAAGCAAAGAGTGTCTTTTACTGACCGATAATGGATTATATTCACGATCAAACAAACAAAACGTTTCAATAACAAACAAAAGAACAAATCTAGATTCGTTTATTCTTTTTAGTCAGCAGTCAAAAAGAAAAGCCGGCCTTGCAATGCAATCGTTATCAGTGGAATCTTATACAACCTGGGAAAAAATGAACTTGTCTGACCTCGTTCGCTATGAAAAACACAAGCACTTGGACAAGAGGCATTTGCCTTTCGTGATCTGGTTAAAAAAATTAGAATTCGTTTCATTTTATTTGTTAGAATCAAATAAAAGTAACGAAATGCTATGTAATATCGATCCTCCGTAAATGCTGGACAATTCCGTTACCTATAAAAAGGGCAGTTAAGCAATAGAGATCTGTTTCTACCGAAAGATTCTGAGAATATATGAACAACTAGGAAAGTTATGGAAAATATGGAAAAAATCCGTTTTACTCAGAATCAGAAATAGATACTGATACTGGTGACTCAATGATTGCTTGATTAATTCATTTTCTACAGCGTATAAATAATTTGCAGGTTATTTTAAGCCAGAAAATACTTTTAGATTCTAAATACTTGTTTTTAGATACCGCAATTCTCCATGTATAATACGCATATTTTTCTGAAAAAATAAGGAAAAAAGGGTGCGTATTATGCACAGCTACAAAAATATCTTTTTTAAATTGCGGTTTCATAGGTCGATTTCAGTTGCGTAATGACTACTCACCACAAACATACAACAATTTGCCACTAACATTCGGCGATTGTGACCCCATAATTATGGCAAATACAATCACATATGCCTAACCATAATTAGAAATATAAAATAAAATAAGAATTATCATAAACCTAAATTATAATAATACTATTCTATATTTAAAATCATTTTTTATAAGAGTAGGAAACGCTGGCCGTAATGAAATTGGAGAAGTAAAATTTATAGGATTGGATTACCAAACAAGATACACATTATGCGTGACTAGAAGCATTTTCCCACAATTTCAGCACGATTTTAGGTGTGCGTATTATGGATGAAGGCGTATTATACATGGGGAATTACGGTAATAATAGTTTAGTGATACAAGTCTTAAGAAATGGATTCGTATCTTACTAAATGGTATTTGAGCGTAAGTGAATATACGAAACGCAACGGGAATTGGAACTCAGCTCTCAGATTAATAATTCCGAATTGTTATCTATTACACCATGCGCACATCCAAGCTTACAGAATCTGGTATTCCCAAACGTTTATCCATCTGGATAATGACCGGGCTCAACGTGGCTTCATTCTGGTGATTGAAGGGATGAACAGTCTGAAAAGGGATAACACACTCACACCCTCGGTCACAATGACTTGTGACTTCGTGCTATCACAACCACCGACGGTCCCAAGGATCTCGTCTACTTAATTTCATTCACACGTTTTGTGTCAACCTGTGGTGTGGTTTTCTGGCACTGGGATCCTCTCCAATAACA